AATTTACTTTGTGCGTATAATCTTTAGCGTCTATCGTTTTGTCTAGTTAGATATTCGTAATTAAATGTACTAATTGTCGATAATCAGTGTTTGATTGTTGTGAATGATGTCCAAGTTCAAGTAACGCGGCCCCAAAAAAAACACCGATTCGACCTCAGAAGTGGGATCGACTCCAGAGCCTGGAGTATCGCAGAAACAATAGTGCCTTTTTGTAGAACATCAAAACCAAAATATGATGGAATTAATAAGTTCAATTAAAACTACACCAGCTAGTGTACCCAGAGTATCATTACCGAAGTTTAACCCGGAGGATCCAAGTGCTGACCTTATTTCCTGGTGTTCTACTATTGATATGTGTTTATCCAAAAATCCATTGGAAGTTCGGCTGCCACTTTAATTAATATGTTCAACGGTCGTCCTAAAGAAAGTGAATGTCTTTTGTCCATAATAGCCGCCTCATGACATATCTTACGTCCAGATGGAAGTCAATGAGCATCGAAGAAATAACGGTGTCGGCCGTATTAGCACACATGGCCCAATTTGATAATCGACTGAAGCGATTATTATTCACCACCAGCATAAAAACCAGGGCTCAATTGCAAAGTGAGTTAAAGGCATTCTCGTATGGTAAGCGGAAAGCCGCTTTAACTTAAGAAGATTCTACCTCATCTTATGCAAAAGGACATAAATCAACTACAATAAAGTGTCAGTTTTGTGGAAAAGTGGGTCATAAAATAAGTGAATGCCGTTTTAGAATTAACAAAAGCGAAAACACATCTGGAATCCATCAGTCCAGTGCTAGTGCATCGCCTTAAATAAATCTGTTGTAAGGTGCATCAGGTGTGCTTTCGGTTATATTGCGTTAAAGTGCCCTTTAGCCACCAGTGGGTCATATTTTAAAGGTTTTTAAGAAAATACGACCGGAGAGAAAAGAGTAAGAGTGGTCAAGCCAACCAGCTCGCTTATTCAATTTGGTGAGTCGTATTTATTCTGTTTTGACTTGTTTACCGATATTCGCTTATTAAAGAAATTGTAACCTCCAAATTCTCAGGTAAAAGAGTTAAGAATTTTATTGTTTTGAGAGGCATTGGGAACACTACTATTCATAGCACTCTACAAATACTGTTTAAAATAGTCATTAACAATTATACCTTAGAAACTATACGCTTAATTGCAAAGTGATATTGTAATGTCATTTCATCTACGATTGGCTGTGAAATTATTTGTCAAAGTTTTCATGTTAACCTGACGTCCAATAGTTTTAAAATTAATTGGAATAATATCCTAGATTTGTAGTTTTACTAAGGTTTTGTCTTTTGGATGTATTGTTTTTATTGTCTATAATTTACTAAGATCGCCACCGATGAGATTAAAATACGTCTAATGAATACTATTATAATATTCAGAGACGGTCATATTGTTTAAGTTCAGATAAGCGACAAATAGTAAAGAATAAAATAAACAAATTGTAAAAGGCTCATATTATTCGGCCCAGTATTTACTTTTGCTAGCCAAATCTTATTAGTTAAAAAGAAAGATAGATCTGATCGTTTTAACATAAATTATTGCGAATTAAACAATAATACAGTACTGCCTCTTATTGCCGATCAAATTGGTAGACTTTGTGGCGCCCAATATTTTTATAGTTTAGACATGTGAAGTGGTTTTCATCAGATGCGGATTTACCCAGACTAAAGGTACCGTGTTTGTCACCCCAGATGTGCAATGGCAGTATCTAACCATTCTGTTTAAAGAATGCACCATCTGTTTGCAAACTAGCTGTTATAAAAGAATTTTGCTAATTCTTTTGTTCTTGTTTGTATGAACGATATTATAATTGTTTCTCGTACAATACAGGATGCATTTTAAATACTTTAATTAGACTTTAAAGTTCTTACAAAAGCAGGATTATTGTTTTAAAATTCTTCAAAAATAGTACAGAGTATCTTGGTTATGAAATTAAAGCAAGCGAACACTGACGTAATTGTCGTAAAATTAAAGCACTTACAGTAAATGTACCTACCTGATCCTGAGAACGTCTCTCAGCTGAGACAGTTCATTGGCCTCGCATAATATTTTCGAAAATTTGTACCCAAATTAATTTGTCTCAGACAATAAAACCTCTATTAATTAACTACAGGTAAAATTAAATTAAGTCACTAAAGCCAGTCCCTTTGAACTTTTGACTAGCAAGATAGCTAGGCCTTTTTAATTGATGTCTGTTGCTGATAAATAATCCGAAATTAATATTACTAACGCAAGAAATCGCGCAAGTCAAAATATAAAAAGTGTTCCATTGCATGATAAGTCTAGATTTAAAAATAATAAAGTTAAAAAATTAGATTTAACGTAGGTGACTATGTTTACTTAACAATGAAAAGTTAAAATAAACTTGATCTTAAGTTTAGACGCCCATTTCTGATAGCAGAAGTTCTAGAAGGTGATAGATATACCTTAAACTCTTTAAAAATAATAGATCTTACAAGAATTCACACGATCACTTGAAAAAAAAATGCCCTACAGCCAGGTCCCCAGTGAGTTAGAGAGTTCTAACGAGGAAAACACTCAGAGAGGTGTTGTAGCTCAAGGTGTTGAAAGAGACACCGAAGCTGAAGGTGTTGCAAGAGACACCGTAGCTCAAGGTGTTGAAAGAGACACCGAAGCTGAAGGTGTTGAAAGAGACACCGTAGCTCAAGGTGTTGCAAGAGACACCGAAGCTCTAGGTGTTGCAAGAGACACCGTAGCTCAAGGTGTTGAAAGCGACATCGCAGCTAAAGGTGTTGCAAGAGACACCGTAGCTCAAGGTGTTGAAAGACACATCGTAGCTGAAGGTGTTGCAAGAGACACCGTAGCTCAAGGTGTTGAAAGAGACATCGCAGCTAAAGGTGTTGCAAGAGACACCGTAGCTCAAGGTGTTGAAAGAGACACTGTAGCTGAAGGTGTTGCAAGAGACACCGTAGCTCAAGGTGTTGAAAGAGACACCGTAGCTAAAGGTGTTGCAAGACACACCGAGAATAGTGCTACATGCGCCAGGCTGTAGTCGCAACTGCCTAAAGTGGTTTGATCAGGGCGTGATGGGCAGCTGGTGATGTAGCGGGGGCCTAGTATGTATTTGAGTGAATTTTTTTGTTATCGAAATGGACTTTAAACTAAGAGCATTGTTAGTTGTGTAAATTGTAAAAGTGGTATTAAAACCTTAAATCTAAATATTGCAATTGCACCCGAGGACGAGTGATCGCCAGGACAGCCGTGTCGGAGAATAGACATTAAGAATCAGTGTTTGATTGTTGTGAATGATGTCCATATATATATATATATATATAATATATATTATATATATATATATATATATATATATATATTAGGGTGTTTCAAAAAAATTAACAATTATTTTTTTTTCCAATGGTGTTAAAAAATTAATAGTACATTAAAAAACAAAAATTTTGGCGCATATTTGAGCCCTTAATATTAATATTAAGGTTTGCCTCAATTCATTTGTTGTTTTTCCATTTCAATAACACTGGAATTTTTATTTTTTTCATTTTGAATTCGTATAACTTTGGAATGGTTTGTTTTCTCAACACCCAATCGAGAGGAGTTATAGACAATTTCACGCTCTACAAAAAACATCTGAAGGTCAAAGTTCTTCAGATCAACCGTTTCAAAGATATCAGCGATCAAAAATAACACAAATAAAAAATTTCAAATATTTTCAAATAAAATACAAAAAAATATCATATTCCATATTTATATTATTTTTTATGTAAAATCACTTTAATTCTGCTAACCTGAGACTGTTAACTTTTTTTTAATTTATATAGATATATATATATATATATATATATATATATATATATTAGGGTGTCCCTTATTTTTATTTTTTTTACGCATACCCTCTAATTATATTTATTACTCATTTATATACTCTCAGTAAAAATTTCAGCTCATTCTATAAACGGGAACCCGTGCCGACATGCATCTAAACCCTCCGTTAGCCAACGTTAGGCGCGCGCTGTATTTTGTAACACGAAACACTTTAAAAAGAAGATATACTTCATGACTGTATTTTTCTAATGATTTTATTAAATATGATTACTAATTAATATTATTGCTTTTGTTTCTATCATTTGTTTCACTAATTTTATCCCTTAAATATATTAATATACTAATTAGTATTGCTAAAATATACTGTTATATGAAATTTTAGCTTTTTATAAGCATTTCTTTTCTTGATGTCCTCCCAAAAATATTTTAGACAGTTCAATAAGTTCTCGGTAGTCATCTCTCACAATAGACTCTTTTAGTTATTTAGAGTAAAACCCATTAAGTTTATCAATTTCAGAGTTTACGGCCTATTCACCAGACCCTTCCGGGTAACTAGCCACTCCCTGTGAAAATATACATTTTTATCAAAGTATACACATAAATAAAACTTTATTTTAACATTTGTCAATAATTTATAATATAAGGGTCACATAATAACAAACACAAAATGACTTACGATCGAAGACCTCGCGACCAACCGTGTTACAAAATACCGCGCGCCTAACGTTGGCTAACGGAGGGTTCATATGCAAGTCGGCACGGGGAATGAGCTGAAATTTTTACTGGGAGTATATAAACACGTAATAAATATAATTAGAGGGTATGCGTAAAAAAAATAAAAATAAGGGACACCCTAATATAGGGGAGAGGCTGGTACAGTGGCCACCGTTTTAATAAATGCTTGATAAAAATTTTAGATTACAATATTGAAATTAGGGTTTGTTGCATATAGAAGTGATAGTATGAGTGCATTATAATCCCCCTTATATGAAACAAAAAAAACCTAGAACAAAGCGCGACAGTGACAAAAACATGTGTTGTGTAAATGTGGCCACTGTACCTAACTACATGGTACAGTGGCCACCAAGATGAGGTACACTGGTCAATACATTTTTGATGTAAAAATAAGTTTGATTATAAAACACAATATCAACCTTTATTAATAAAATATTAGTTTAACAAATATTGTATGCAGTCAAGTCGATGCTAAAGGCTAATAAATTGGCTGTTCTATTAGTTCCACCAGAGGTTTTCGGTTGAGGGAGGTGGAGAACCACGTCCTGCTTCGAAATTGTGGCACAATCCGGAATTTGTGGATACGAGAAGCTCTGTCCATGTCGTCGTAAAAAGGTTACTATGTATTCATCATAGTCTAAAGTTTCTGTGACTTTTGCAACGTAATATTTTGACGTCTTTTTTGTATTAAACTGGACAAGAACAAATGATTTTACGTTGATTATTTGTAATTCTCTTTCTTCATCACTACTTTTATCAGTTTCTGAAAATACATCGACATCATCAGAATCTATAACGTCAGCCATTTCAATGTCACTATTGCTTTCACTGGATTCACGTTTCTTCTTTGTTATATTCAATTTGCTAAAAGAGGAAATTTTTCTTTTTACACTCCTCTGTTTCTTAATGCCATCTTGTCTAGCTCTTTTCTTTGCTGTCTCCTCTTCAATTCTTTTATAGATTGGCGTGTCAGTAAGAATTTCCGTAGTCTTCTTCTTTCTTTGTTTTTTCACAGGAGCTAGTGACGCTTTTGGATAGGGGTTAAATATTTCTGGCAAAATAAAAGTTTTTTCAGGTGTTTTTTCGCCAATAGAAATTATTGATGTGTTGTTGGTTTCTTTAGGACTTTCATCTTGACAGAATGATGTCGATGGAAAAGAATTATCTAAATCTGATATTTGGTCTGGATATATATCTTTATTAGGTAAATAATTCTCTTTATCTTCTACTTTTTGTACGTCAGTAACAGTTGAAGCCATAAAATCATCGTCGCTAAAAATTTGGTCATTGTATGGAAAAATTCCTGTTGCTTTGAATGCCGCTATAGAATTTTTTGGACAAAATGCTAGTGGATATGCGTCACGTAAGATCTCGGCAATGTCATATATGGTTATCCTTTTTCCTGGATTTTTTAGTAACCATGATTGGCATTCGTGATTATAGTATTTTTTAAGAGGGCCATAAACACATTTATCCAGTGGTTGGAGTCGATGGCTAGTATGAGGCGGCAGGGTAAGCAAAATAATATTACTTTTTTTTGCTAGTCTTATAGTTTCCAATGAAACGTGGCTCTCATGGTTATCCATAATAAGCAGAATGGGAGATTCTTGTGTTGGTTTGGAATGCTGTATAAAATGTTCCATCCACTGCAAAAATAACTCGGACGTCATCCATCCCGAAGATGAAGCAACACCCAGTGTTCCTGGAGGTGCATTTTTAATCATATAATCTTTAAAATACTTTCTCGGAAATATCAAAAATGGAGGTACCGAATTACCAATAGCATTTATTGCCCCGCACATAGTTACTAAAGTTCCGCGCTCATTAGAAACTATGTGACCTACTTGCTTCTGTCCCTTTTGAGCAACTACCTTCCCAGTTCCCTGAACAGTTGTCAGCGCAGTTTCATCAACATTATAAATTTAACTTGGTGGAAAACTATAGCGTTCATAAATTTCTTTGAGGTTCTTAAAAAATTTGTCAACAACGGGTCGATTAAAGCCCATTGCTCTACCAAGTGACGTTGCTTCTGCTGATCTTAATGACAATTCAGGGTTTCGTTTCATGAATCCCGTGAACCAAAATTTTCCAGCCGTTTGGTTATCTTTCCACGATATGGGTATTTTTTTGTTGTTGACAACTGCTAAATCAAAAGCTAGCTTCCTAGCACCCTTTGGGTTTAATCCATGGTGCAATCTTGTCAACGTTTGCAGGTATTTGCTGAGCTCTTTTTCTTCATCTACCGAGAAAATTTGGTTAATAGAATAATTTGGGGTTAGTTTCGGTGCTCCTTCGAGAATTTCTGAACTCCAATCTATATCATCTTTATTCTGGCACTTAGTCAGGTACCTTCTTAGCGTAGTGCGAGGGATACTGTATTTTATAGCAGCAGCTTTTTTAGATAGCCCACCTTCCATGATATCGTATATAGCTCTTCTCATGTCCCCATCTGTAGTTTTTCCAATACCAGGATTCTTTGGTTTTGGGCGTGGCATTTTTAATTTGTAAATAAAGTTTAATTATAATATAATATATTAATTAAAAGGAGATGTGTATTTCTCATGATACGGAACAGTGGCCACAACTTTAAAGAAAAACTGCTACTAAAATGCATTGCCACTGTACCAAAAAGCTATAGTTTAATAAACATAACTTACAAGTTAATTTTTGATTTGTAAATAATATTTAATTATTATTATTAATAAAATAAAATGATATTAAGAATTAATAATTGTATATTTCTCACAATAAGGAACAGTGGCCACAACTCTTTGCAAAAAAACAGCAGTGACCAATGTTCCTTTAAAATGCATGGCCACTGTACCAAAAAGCTAATAGTTTAAGAAACATAACCTACAACTTACTATACTAAACTTAGAGAAAATACTGCATGAAAAGTTTATACCTATTACTATTGCATTCAGTATACCCTTAAAGCATTTTACGAAGGATCTTTTTTTAAGCTCTAAAACAATATTAAACTTACCTTTATTATTTACTCACAGCACTTAAAAACACAAGATTTGTTTAACAATGCATCAATACAAGTTACGCTTGCAAACTGCAGTGTCACGTGTTTGTGTAATGTATACTATCTATAGTAAGAGATGGCGCCACCGTGTCTATAAAAACTACAAACATATTTAGAAATGACCACTGTTCCTGACTGGCCACTGTACCAGCCTTTCCCAAACCCAAACTCAACAACACAACCCAACCGACCCCGCCCCATTGCCCCCCCCCCGCCCCATTGAGCTATATAAAAAAAAAGTTTATAGTATCAGGTTAACAGAATTAAAGTGATTTTACATAAAAAATAATATAAATAAGGCATTTGATATTTTTTTGTATTTTATTTGAAAATATTTAAAAATTTTTATTAGTGTTATTTTTGATCGCTGATATCTTTGAAACGGTTGATCTGAAGAACTTTGACAGATGTTTTTTGTAGAGCGTGAATTTGTCTATAAATCCTCTCGCTTGGGTGTTGCGAAAACAAACCATTCCAAAGTTATAAGAATTCAAAATGAAAAAAATAAAAATTCCCGTGTTATTGAAACGGAAAAACAAAAAATGAATTGAGGCAAACCTTAATATTAATATTAAGGGTTCAAATAGGCGCCAACATTTTTGTTTTTTAATGTATTTACTATACATTTTTCAACACCATTGGAAAAAAAATAATTGTTAATTTTTTTGAAACACTCTAATAAATATATAAGCAATATAAGTGGCTTAGTAGTGTGAAACTGAATAATTGTGTTGTGTTTGAAGAAAGATTATTTAAGAAACCACTAAAACTTTTAAAAGAAAGAATCCAAATGCCTGATTACAAATACAGCAACTAACAATGTCACAGAAAAACCTTTATGAACAATGTAGCTATTATGAATTAAATGTTTTATTTACGATTTTTTTGCCTTATCGTGTTGCTTTATTATTTAGAACCGAAGTAGTTTTCAATACTATGTTCTTATAATATAGAAGCAAAATCTTCTATATTTTAGCATTTCAGAACAAAATGTTGTATTTTATAGTTGTCCTTTGGAAAAAAATTGCAATATTGCAAACATATCCAGGTTATTTTTGTATATGTTGAGTTGGATTTAAAATATAGTGTTTAATCGATATTGTAGCCTTTTATTCTAATTTAACAAAATATGTATATATCTAAATTACACGTAATGCACTAATGATGAGTAATAATTTATTTCTATATACTTTTTAAACTTCTATATTTTCAAGCTCATTCTTCAAAGAATATATCTTTTTACAGCATTTTTATTTCTGGCAATCCAAACATTTGCAAACAGTTGCACATTATTAATAAATTAATGCAAACTAAATAATAATTAAAATGTAATCAAACAAATTTACCAATAAAAGACTTGACAAAATATACGATTTTTATTTTTTTATAAAATATATAGAGTAGGCTGTGAACTTAATTGTCGTATATAATACCACTAGCGGTAAAATTACCCAAATCGTTCGTTTTTGACTAGCAATAGTTAATTAACTACAAACCAGCTAAATTCAAAGTTTTGTTAATTTAAACGGGAGCACTGAAGCACCTGCTAAAATTTCGAGGTTAGAATCTGTTAAAATTAATTTATGAGTCATGGCTGCTTTGATATCGTAAAGATGAAAAGCCGAAAACACGTAGTGGGGGAAAGAAGACTATATTAAATGAAACGTATGAGCTTGTCAGGTAATAAAACGCAAACTAAAACTTATTTCTTTTCTGGTGATATTTTTAGCTGGCCAGTTAGCAAGAAAGATAGATCAAGACCCCGAATGAGTTTTTAAATTTTACCGACTAAATAATAATATTTTTTTTACCCATTTAAATGTTTATTAAATGTATTAAATGTTTATTTATTTATTAATTTATATATTGCATACCGTATGTTTTATAACTAAATTTTTCACCTTGTTTTTTTTTCGCTTTTTGACGTTGTTTATATCATATTAGCAATAAACATATTATTATTATAATACCTCGATTCTTCTTATTCAGAGTGCAGTATTTGTGAGTGCAGTTTATTATGTCCCAAAAAAAGTAAAAACGTAATTTTATCCTCCACTATGCCTCATAATAACAGCATCGTTGAAGGAAGAGGCGAAAAGAATCTACCAGAGATCATTGATTTTTATAACTCAATTAAAGGAGGGGTAGACACTTTAGATGAGCTTTCTGCAAATAAAAGCGTCAAAATTTCTGGATAAAGCGAAATCAGTGTCAAGAAAAATAGGCAAAAATCCCATTTTTCCATTCTTTTGTCATCCTATTTAAAATCTATAATTTTAATTTAAAATACCCAATTTTAAAGGGTTAAAACAATAAAAATCTAAATTTAACCCATTTTTCCCAGTGTTCCATTATTAAAACTTCCCCTACAGTGTACAGATCCTTACGCAGCAGTTTATTTCGTGCAGTAAACGTGGTTATGTTAACTAAAGCATTTAATGTGCCATCATTAAATTTATGTACGTTTTTGTGTAATTAACGGGTAATTTTAGAAAACTTTTACACAGCTAATTTTATGGCGTCCAAAAAGTAAGTATAATTGTAAAATTTACTACTTTAATATTACTTGAAATGCATATCGACCCATGCAACGAAGACTATAGTAACTCAAAAAACGTGGGTTTTGACTTACTATATGGAATCAACAGATTTTTTCAAGCTCTATTTGGTGGAAGATTACAGTATCTCAGAGATAGGCAACCAGTGAACAATTTCCCTGTATAGTAAGTGTAGTTAAGTTGAGTTGCAAAAAACAGCGAAATGTATAGCAAGTTTGACTTACTATAATTTTCGCTGCACGATTGGAGGTTAGGTTGATATTAATGACTGTAAACGTTAAGTAGTGGATGTGTGAAAATAGCTGTTTATAATCGAACCGAAATGAATTTAAGAACCAAAATAATTCTGGAAAATGCAAAGAAGCTAAGTGGAGCTGTTGAATCGTTGAATTCAGGTAAGTTTAACATATTACTTTTACTTCTTGCAAACAACATATTATTATTCTTCTAGAACAAGAAAACCGTTCAAACATGCTGTCTACTTCTGCCAGTTATGCATTCGAGTCTACGGCATCACAACCTCTAGCACTCATGCCTATAAAATCAACAAGCATACTAGTGAGTCCAGGTATGTCCATTGTTTTTTTAGTTTTCCTCATGCGTGGTAACAAATACTTTAACTTTTTTAGGACCGGATAGCTGTCCAATCACTGAACATGCTTGTACTGGTAAAGTACCCGTTGCATCAGATGCAGGAACCACATTGTCCGATACACCGAGTTTTCCCAGCAACTCTGCAGTAGGATTGATAGATTACTTGGACATCAGTTGCAATTATCTGCAGGATACATTATTATCGTTTTTCTACAGGAAACTTGTCAAATATTCAGACATAGATCCCAATTATGTGCCAAGAGGAACATCCGATTCTGACTCGTCTGATGCACCTGATACAGTTAAGTTCCACTTACAGGATAGCTAATACAGGAAGAAATATCACTATGGAAAACTGGTTTACCAGTATACCTTTATGTAAAATCCTGTTGGAGAAAAGATTAACTTTGATCGGCACCATATACAAAAAAACAAGCGAGAAGTACCCCGTGAATTCTTGACAGGTACTAAACCAGACATTAGTGTCGTACATACCAAGAAAAGGAAAAAATGTACTTCTCATATCGACCATGCATGACGATGATAGCATAGACGAAAATACCAACAAACCAGAAATTATTATAATGTAAAATCATACGAACGGCGCACAGTGTGGTATTTTGCCCCAAAACCTGGCCAAAAATATTTTATATTACTTATTAATACATAACTACGTTTTAATAGGACTGTATGATAAAAAATGGTAAAACAAAGACTTATTTGAATAACAAATCATTTATTGATCACTACTACTATCTTCACCAATATTTACATTTGTTATTTCACTTTCTGATACTAACTTTAAAACATCAGACGATAATGGCTTCTTTTTCGTATTTGAGATGCTTCTCATGCCTGTTATTAGAGGATCAGAAGTTAAAAGAAGCCTTTTTAGGACATCCATGTTGCAAGACTCGCGAGAAAACTTTCTTGTATAGTTTAATCTTTATAACCTAATATGCTTGTTGCGAGCTTCAGCAGCTTTTTCTGATAGTTGACCTTTAGGAAGAATATCTTCTTTTATGACATCTGCCCCATGACGAAGTACCTTATGCAGTGTAGGAGACATGGGGTAAAAACCATAAAGCGACACGTATATTTCAGCCGTTTTTTTCAAATTCGTCTACATTTATTTTAAATTCGCAACACAATGCATCCAAAATCACTTTAAGCCGATATAATAAATTTTTACCAACCCCTGTTATTGACGCCGATATTTCGTATTCCTCAAAAAACCTTCTGCTAGTATTTCCATCATTAGTGTTTCCACAATTTGCTTTAGGGATGTCCACTAAGAGCCCAATTTTTGCTATCTACCCTTTGTTTTTCTTTATCAGAAAGGCGGGCATTCCATTTTTTTACAGGCAGTCTATATCCTACATGTAATATATTCACAGATTTGCATATTACAATATTGTACTGCATAAGTACAATTATCCAGTAACTACCTCGCATGGATACAACCATCTGGTACCTATTGCGCATATATACAATCATCTAGTATTCACAACGCAAAGATGCAACCTTCTAAAATCTACTGCGCACAAGTACAATCATCCGGTACCTACTGCGCATAGATACAACCACCTGGTACCTACTGCGCTTAGCTACATTTGCTATCATAAGCGGTCACATTCCATTTAATATTGGTACGCCACTTATTTTATCGTTTTCTACTCTTTAAGGTCTTTCATTTAATAGCCATAAGGGGGTTGACAAAAAGTACATCATCCTCTATCTTGTGGCGGCGGTATTGCATGTTGTATTGTCAACCAAACTAATGGTGTATTCAAAATTTTAGCAAAATCGGTTAGGAGAAAATTCAGTTGTAAGATTTGACCTAAACAAACATTGCAAGTTAAATAAAAGCTTGCTTGTAAAAAATTGTTAAAAACAGCGGGGCGGTTTCGGGCGGCTGATTTTTTAAAAGATGTCTTTAATACTAAGTACTTTATATTCCAAAATAGTTTTTAAAGCTTAGAAATATTTAGAAATATATCAAACCACCTTATGAATATAAAAAATTGTTATATATTTAACAGTTCATTGAACCTATGTTGTCGCCCAAAAATAAAAAAAAAATTGCATATATATTAGAAGAAAATAGAATTACATAAAGTACATACCTGGCTGAGTACAATCCATCATAAAAACTAACTTGAAATTGTTTTTGCATTAAACCACAAGAGTTTAAAAAACTAAAAATTTAAGCACTTCGAAAAATCACAAATCACTTAAGACAAACAGTAACTTCCGACTAACCGTGTGATGCGCTGTTTCGCAATTGCGCTTTATGCGTTTCGCCGTTAGTTGCGGTAACTATTTAGATTTAAAAAAAATACCAATAAAGGGCAGACATACGATTTATAAAAAATAGGTTTTTGGCCAGGTTTTGGGGATAAATACCACACTGTGCGGCGGTGTTAACACGGTCGACCAATTATGTTCAAATTATAACTGTGCCAGGAATACAAGAAGGTGAACTATGGTAATTTTTACCGTGTACTAAATATAGCAGCCACAAACGCATTTGCCGTCTTTATTTCAAAAAATCAGGATTTGGATATGCTCAGAAGAGTTTTTCTAGAAAAACTATCGATTGACTTAGTTATAGATCATCTCAAAAGGCTTGCAATGCTTCAGCCAGTGCCACGTTTATCTCGAATGCGTATAAAAAAGTCTGCCATATGGAAACCGAAACCATTGCTCAAGATCAGAACATACCTCATGGTAGATATTTTTTCTGGAGCACGAAAAATAGTCGAAAAACAAATTATACATGTATACAGTGTAGCAAATTTTTGTGTCTAGAACACGTTATCGCAATGTGTAGCGATTGTGTTAGACATGGTAGTGACAACAACAAAGATGACTAATGACTAATTTTAGGCTAAATATTTGTGTTAAAACTTGCATTTTTTTTATAAACAAAATTATTTAAAAAGCAAAGATGCGAAAAAAGACTCTAAATTTAGTCTCACACAGTCATGTTAGTTCTGGAGGGTTAAAAACTCGGGCATTACAGATGTTAACATTTTTTTTTAAACCTGAACCCGTTACATTTAAAGAATTTAAACAAAAACTAGCTTAAATAGTGGCCTTGAGACTTTCTTTGGTTTTAGGGAATGTTAGCTGCACAAAACTGCGAGTCTCCGATCTATTGGTTACTTTTATTATTTTTTAACCAAGGTGGACCCTGAAACCAAAGTGGTGTATTAAATAATTTGTGAACATTCGCGACGCGAGAAATTTTATTGGCAGGATTTTCCGCCGATTGCGTGATTCAAGTTTGTATCCCTGGCTGTAGTTTGGATTTTAGAGATTCTATTAGCTACAAAGGTTTTTCACGTTGACGGTTCGGTCGCTAGCAACGCGAGTACGATTTTTGAGTCCGTCCAGTAATGTGTTTCAAATTTGTTTTATTTTAAGGCCGACTTGATTTAATAATCGAGTTGGCCTTTTTTACCAAATGTAGACTTGATAGTTGTAAAACTGGTTGAAGGTTGCGGTTCATCCACAATTTATTTTAAAATTAAGGTTGGTTTATGCAGACTTAAGACATAATATTTAAGATTTAAAACATAGTTTAATTAAGTTTATAATCTATTATTTAAATTCCAAGAAACCAAAAGTTTTTGGGATTATTAAATCATCAGTTTTCAAAAGGGGCTTTAAAATATTTCTCAATGTATAAATAAGGTTATAAATTTATTAAAACAGGTTCAAATGACAAATAATAAAGATTCTAATTTTTTGCCAGAATCTGATTAAGGCCAGACCTAGAAACCATACCAGGGAGTACAAAATGTGTACTACACATATACAAGGTGTCCCTAAACTTAGTGGCATAAATTAAGGAGCAGATTAAGCAAGTCAAAATAAGACGAAAATCTAAATAAATATTTTTCCTAATTACGTATGTTTAAAAGATACAGGGTGATAAAGTGTTAATTATCATATTAGTTTTTTTAATATAACTTCTACTATGGTAGACTTGGAAAGGTGATATTTTGCGAACAGTCACTTACTACCAAAACACATATTCACACATAATTACAGTTGTTCGAGTGAACAGTGTCGTAGAAACAGGGGATGCTTAAGCTTATTGCCCCATACAAACTTTGAGGTTAGGTTTTTATACCATTTCAGGCAATTTTTCGATTACTCAGTTCGGCTACTATTAAAAAGGTGTACCTCTCAAACTTCGATAAAATAAACCGTTTCCGAGATATTCGAGATTACAATAATTGTTATATCACATTAATCGCAAGGTATATGATAATAATTTTTTTAATTGAAAAGAACAATTTTTTTTAATGTGAAGGTCAAGGCAAAAAGTTCCGAGGCTCATGGAATGCCCTTTTTAGTTTTTTCAAATAAAAAATAAAATTTGTTATCATATACCTTTTAATCCTTATAAATAATGCGATATAACAATTATTGTAATCTCTAATATCTCGGAAACGGTTTATTTTATCGAAGTTTGAGAGGTACACCTTTTTAACGGTAGCCGAAATGTGTAATCGAAAAATTGCATCAAATGTTATAAAAACCTAACCTCAAAGTTTGTATGGGACAATAAGCTTAAAGCAACCCCCGTTTCTACGACACTGTGTTCACTCAAACAATTGTAATTATGTGTGAATATGTGTTTTGGTAGTAAGAGATTGTTCGCAAGATATCACCTTTCCAAGACCAGCATAGTAGAAGTTATATTAAAAAAACTGATATGATAAGTAACACTTTATCACCCTGTATCTTGGAAACAGAAGTAATTAGGAAAAATATTTATTTAGGTTTTCGTCTTATTTTGACTTGCTCATTTTTTTCCTAAATTTATGCCAATAAGTTTAGGGAAACCTTGTATAAAACAAAATCTATTTTATTAAAAATGGACGTATGAACACGGCTTTTGTAGGGAATGAAATTTACTACAAAAAAGTTCTTTTGGGCAAATGGATTCCGAACAACAGTTTTTGAGTTGTAGAGCTGGAAAGGTGAATATTAATAATAACAACAAACAAATAATAACAAATTTCCTTTTAATTGAAATTTATTGATCTTGAGACTTTCTTTGGTTTTAGGGAATGTTAGCTGCACAAAACTGCGAGTCTCCGATCTATTGGTTCATTGACCTTTACGATAGGCCAGTTACTTTTATTATTTTTTAACCAAGGTGGACCCTGAAACCAAAGTGGTGTATTAAATAATTTGTGAAATTTTATTGGCAGGATTTTCCGCCGATTGCGTGATTCAAGTTTGTATCCCTGGCTGTAGTTTGGATTTTAGAGATTCTATTAGCTACAAAGGTTTTTCACGTTGACGGTTCGGTCGCTAGCAACGCGAGTACGATTTTTGAGTCCGTCCAGTAATGTGTTTCAAATTTGTTTTATTTTAAGGCCGACTTGATTTAATAATCGAGTTGGCCTTTTTTTACCAAATGTAGACTTGGGAGTTGTACAAGTGGTTGAAGGTTGCGGTTCATCCACAATTTATTTTAAAATTAAGGTTGGTTTATGCAGACTTAAGACATAATATTTAAGATTTAAAACATAGTTTAATTAAGTTTATAATCTATTATTTAAATTCCAAGAAACCAAAAGTTTTTGGGATTATTAAATCATTAAAGTTTTCAAAAGGGGCTTTAAAATATTTCTCAATGTATAAATAAGGTTATAAATTTATTAAAACAGGTTCAAATGACAAATAATAAAGATTCTAATTTTTTTCCAGAATCTGATTAAGGCCAGACCTAGAAACCATACCAGGGAGTACAAAATGTGTACTACACATATACAAGGTGTCCCTAAACTTAGTGGCATAAATTTAGGAGCAGATTAAGCAAGTCACAATAAGACGAAAATCTAAATAAATATTTTTCCTAATTACGTATGTTTAAAAGATACAGGGTGATAAAGTGTTAATTATCATATTAGTTTTTTTAATATAACTTCTAATATGGTAGACTTGGAAAGGTGATATTTTGCGAACAGTCACTTACTACCAAAACACATATTCACACATAATTACAGTTGTTCGAGTGAACAGTGTCGTAGAAACAGGGGATGCTTAAGCTTATTGCCCCATACAAACTTTGAGGTTAGGTTTTTATACCATTTGAGGCAATTTTTCGATTACTCAGTTCGGCTACTATTAAAAAGGTGTACCTCTCAAACTTCGATAAAATAAACCGTTTCCGAGATATTCGAGATTACAATAATTGTTATATCGCATTAATCGCAAGGTATATGATAATAATTTTTTAATTGAAAAGAACAATTTTGAAGGTCAAGGCAAAAAGTTCCGAGGCTCATGGAATGCCCTTTTTAGTTTTTTCAAATAAAAAATAAAATTTGTTATCATATACCTTTTAATACTTATAAATAATGCGATATAACAATTATTGTAATCTCTAATATCTAGGAAACGGTTTATTTTATCGAAGTTTGAGAGGTACACCTTTTTAACGGTAGCCGAACTGTGTAATCGAAAAATTGCATCAAATGTTATAAAAACCTAACCTCAAAGTTTGTATGGGACAATAAGTTTAAAGCAACCCCCGTTTCTAGGACACTGCTTTCACTCAAACAATTGTAATTATGTGTGAATATGTGTTTTGGTAGTAAGAGATTGTTCGCAAGATATCACCTTTCCAAGACCAGCATAGTAGAAGTTATATTAAAAAAACTGATATGATAAGTAACACTTTATCACCCTGTATCTTGGAAACAGAAGTAATTAGGAAAAATATTTATTTAGGTTTTCGCCTTATTTTGACTTGCTCAATCTTTTCCTAAATTTATGCCAATAATTTATGGAAACGTTGTATAAAACAAAATCTATTTTATTAAAAATGGACGTGTGAACACGGCTTTTGTAGGGAATGAAATTTGCTACAAAAAAGTTCTTTTGAGCAAATGCTTTCCGAACAACAGTTTTTGAGTTGTAGAGCTGGAAAGGTGAATATTAATAATAATTAACAACAAATTTCCTTTTAATTGAAATTTATTGATCTTACATTAAATATTATTTTACAATAGACGCTATAAAGCTCATATATTGTTAATTTTAGAAACTACTTTTTGTATTTAGTGAATAAATTTAAATTTAGAAAATATATAAATTTCATTTAATAATTACTATAAAATTATAAAACCAATAAATTAAAATTTTAATTTTCGCGCATATTTTATTTTTAAACTTATTCTAATTCTATTTTATACCACGGTGGCGCTGTTTTTGACTTCGTCTATACTTTTACTGTAGTAAACAGAAGTTTTTGCTCTTAATTTGTATTGACTGTAGAGATGGGAATACCGGTTTACTTTTTGTCGCGGTTTCTGTCAAGTCCGTTTCAGAATAATACTGTAACAAAATACCGCGATTTAGTAATTGGCGATGATGGACACTTCGTAGTTTTCGTTTATAATTGCTTATGCTTATTTCGACTCGAAATTTTCAAGTATTCGAATGCAATAGATTAACTTGAGCTAATTTTTAGTATTGCTATACTAGTGTTTACATTAAAAAAAGTTGTTTTATAAACACAATTCTTGGGAAATTATACCATTTTTCACTAGTTCCTTCCCAATAAACATTTTTGTTTTTATAGTGGTTGCCATAAATGTTATATTACCCAAATTATAAAACTGCAATTTCTTAATTTGGTTACAGTAATATTTATATCACCCTTATATACCCCATAAAGAGCTTATTTGAGGATTTTATAAAGGTAATTGATACTTGTGTTTAGTAACACTATGAAACTTAAGTTTTATAACTGAGAGTAACAGAAATATTTTGGAGACTGCGTTAAACACCTTAAGTTATATAATGTAGTTTTATATTGGTTCCGGTTACTCTTATAAACATAGCCCAAAATGGTGTTGGAAATATTTAAGTTACCTATCATAACTTTTTAAATATTTCGCTCTCTCTCTTAAACATATTTAAAATATATAATTCTGTATACTTTATCTTTCTCATTCTTATAAAGTAAAATTCGTGATTCTTTGATTAGTCCAGTATGGCGAAAATTAATATGGTGTATAATTTTATTAATAGATTTCATTAAGCATAACACCTTGTAATTATTACCTAAAATTAAGGTGAAAAGTAATTTTTACTGTAAATATGTACATAATACCTCGAAAAACGCCGGGGACCTTAAAAATACTTATTTATTTAGCTTTAGCTATACCTATTAAAAAATATACATAATTTTTAAAGAATAATACAAAAAAAAGTGAAAATGGCGGGCGATACGTTGCTTACGCCGAGCGCTCTTGAAAAATTGTAAAGTGTGCGCTAGATCTGTGAAAGGGGACTTGAAATGCATCGTGTGTAATGGTTGGTTTACACGCTCATGCAATTTGCGCCAATTGATTTGTGCAAGCCAATTTGCACAAGTAAATCGTTGTATGTGAATGGAAGCATGAAGTTTGCGCAATCCAAAAAGTTTGGCTTGAATAAAATCTGTTTTGCCAGATAATTTGCATGAGGTTGGTACAGTTGCATGGGCGTGTAAACGATATTTTGTGCAAATAACATACGGCGCACGTGTTTTTGAAAGGTTAGGTTTATTTGTTTACCTTTTTATTGTTGCCACAGAAATAATTTTCAAATTTCTCTTTTATTTTTATAGGGTAATTATAAAGTATAAGTGTAATTTCGTTTATTGTTGCTATATAATGGCAAACAAAGAACATGAGTTTCTTCGTGAATTTATAGAATTATATAAATCATTTCCTTGTTTGTGGAAAGTGAAGTCTCAAGAATATAGTGACCGTAATGCCAAATCTCAAGCTTATGATATATTGATTGAAAAAATGCAGACTGTGCACCCAGAAGCTAACAGAGACACTGTAGTCAAAAAGATAAATTCTCTACGTACCACCTACAGAAAAGAATTAAAACGAGTTTTAGATTCTGAAAGATCAGGTGCTGGAGAAGAGGATATTTATGTGCCCCATTTATGGTATTATGAGTTAATGAATTTTATAAGGGACCAGGAAATTCCAAGGAATACGAAATTAAACATTGAAAATACAAAAATAAATGAGGTAAGTATATTTTTAATTATCAATGTTAATTATTTCCTATTTATTACAACAAGGCAAATTATTTATTATCGGATTTAATAGTAGAAATCATTGTGTGCTGCCAAGGTACTTTTCCAGAATTGTTAAAGTATGTTTTAAATTGTTCTCTTACTTCCTTTGCCTCTCTAGAGTGATTCCGATTATAGCCATTTTGAAGATTCAATAGATTATCAGAGTGTGTTCGTAAACCAGGGGTAATTGTACCGGTTGTGGTATCCTCAACGTCAAACACATCATTAGGTGTATATGTGTTTGTACAATTACGTCGCAAAAAATTATGGAGTGCAGAACAAGCCAAAACAACTTTATCAATATTATGTACCTGTAAATTAATTGTGGAATGAAAGATTCTAAAGCGATTAGCTAGAATTCCAAATGCATTTTCTATGATTCTTCTGGCTCTAGACAAACGATAATTGAAAATTCTTTTTTCATAATCAAGTTCTCGTTGATTATATGGTTTTAAAAAATCTGGCCTTAAAGCAAATGCTTCATCTCCAATAAAAGTATAATTTAATGGTGGTTCACCGTCAATGATTGGTTCTGGTGCTGGCAAATTTAATTTATTTTCAAGTAGTTTGTGCATAAAAATAGTATTGTCTATTACTCCTCCATCAGATACTCGGCCATTGGTTCCAACATCACACATTATAAATTCATAGTTACCATTTGCAATTGCCATTAGGACAATACTGTGTGTTTTTTTATAATTGTAGTAGTAGGATCCCACTTCCAGAAGGAGCCATTATCTGTATATGCTTTCCATCTACAGCCCCCAAGCAATGAGGAAAATGCCATTTATCTTGAAAAACGTTTGCGATTTTTTTCCATTCAGCTGCAGTTATAGGAAACTGGAACAAAAAATTTAACTATTAATTAAATATCATGTAACTTTTTTACTTAATATTTTTGTGCTTTTTTTTCAGGATCCTACTAGTCCTGCTACTGAAACAATCCCTTTTGAGTCAGAATCTACCGACATTTCTTTACCACCCACACCATGTTCAACTCTATCTATACCAAGTCATCAAAAAATAGGCGCAATGACAAATGTGACGAAGTGTTAGATGTCATTGCAAAACGGTTAAAAGGACCTTCGACAGTAACTGTAGATAATTTTGATGATATTGGCAAAGTATGGGCATCAAAATTGAGGGACCTCCCTGCACAACAAGCCATACACGCAGAAAAAATTATAAATGAAGTATTTTACGAAGCTCAGATGCAAAATTTAAACCGGAATTGCTTTTTGCAAATTCAGCAGGAAACTTCAACGACCATTCCACTAACAAGACATGCTCACTCATACAGTATCCCAACCACTTCTAATATTTATCCAAGTTTCAACTCTCAGCCCCCATTCAACCCTCAGCCTCGGCCCCCATTCAACCCTCAGCCTCAGCCCCCATTCAACACTAAGCACACATTTAAAAACCAGTCCACCTTCAATACTTATAACTACCAAGAAGAACCAGAACGTGAAACGGCTGCAGAATTCTTTCACCACTTCGACGATTCGGTAGACAGTGAAACACAATAATAAAAATATTGATATTTATTTTACTTATAAAAATAATAAACTTACCTTTAAATATGTTTGTTTTAATACAGTATAAATTGCGTCACATGTTTCAGGAATTATAGAACTCAGAGCTGACTTGGAAATACATGTAGAGAATTTCAGATCTTCGTAACTTCTCCCCGTTGCCAAAAATCTTAATGTAGCTGATAACCTTTCGTGAGCAGATATTAAACGTCTCATAACAGAGTCAGCTCTTAAAATTAATGGTGCAACCAAATCTAGCAAATGTTTGTATGTGGTTTCGTCCATTCGCAAATAGTTGCGAAAATCATCAGGTTCATTACGTAATTCTGCTATTAAATTTGTATGTGAAAACAAATTCCTTTTTAATAACCAGGGTTTGACCCACCTTCTCTTTTTTTCTAAATTATTCTTTTTTTTAATAATGCAAACTGCGGCTGCAGCAAGAAGTAAAAATTCCTCGTCAATGTCTTCCTTTTCCATTTTCTTTATTATTTTTATTCTGTGAAAAACCAACACTTCATATGCACTGTGCAGATTTGACTGAAATTAATTGAACGTGTAGACCGAATCCTCCAACTCAGTTCTATTGCGCAAATTGGCTTGCACAAATCAATTGGCGCAAATTGCATGAGCGTGTAAACCATCCTTAACGCAAATTTCCACCCCGCATGTTCTCTTAAAGTAAAAGGGGTGAAAGTCGTAGGTTCCGACCAAATACGATGTTGTAACGGTGAAGAAGATGAAACCGCGTGCGACATCAAATCTTTAACCAAAGAAAACCAGTTGTTAGCTAGGATTATTGTGGAAATGCAAGGTACAAATGAACGACAAAATTGTTTTTCTAGAGGAAAAAATCAAGTTTTTATCGGAAAATAAGAAAAGTGAGGTTAAGAAAGTTTCTGCGGTTGGCAGCACTGGATTCCCCAACAGTGTTGCACCGCAACCGAAAGAAAAATATAATGTAGTGGCCAGTAGTTCAAAAGTACCACCAGCTGGGATTTCAAACGCACCAAAGGTCGATAAAGAAGTTTCCCATTCGCATGAAAGCATAACCTCAAAGACCGAAGATGGTTGGAAAACACAACAAAGCAAAAATAAGAACAAGAAAGTTATTTTTGCCAAAGGAAACACAACAAAAGCATTAACCTTTACTGGGGCACTACGTAGGAAATGGATTTATGTTGGCAGAATAGCTGGAGTGGATATCAAGGAAGATGATATAAAGAAATTCCTTAGTGATGTACCAGGAAATGAAAATATAGACGTCAAAAAGCTCCAGACCCAAGGAAAAAACTCGGCCTTCAGCATTGGCCTGCCAATGGAAGCGGTGGAGTCTGTGTTTAATGAAGTGGAGTATTGTTAAGAGAATTTCAGTTAAAAAACATTTTTTTAGAGAAGAAAAAAACGCAATTCCAGAGGTAGAAACAATAAAGAAGGGGTAAAGTTTACTATTCTTCACCATAACATCCAGTCCATAGGAAATTCCTTTGATGAGTTACAAGTACTCGTTGAGAGTATAGAAACCTGCAAAATAGAATGTCTAACGGAGCATTGGCAATCAAAAATGCAACTACAGCAATATAACATGCAAAATTTTAAATTAGTGTCAAGTTTCTGTCGAAAAGTGGGAGGTCACGGTGGTGTAGCTATCTACATTGAAGATCAGTTACAGTGTGTTGCTCGGAAAGATGCGGAAGAAATGTCTGAAGCTTACTTTTTTGAATGTGCAGCCATAGACTTTAAAATAGAAAATTTTAAAGCACGTGTTCTTTGTGTGTATCAAACGCCTTGTAGCTCATCAAATTTTATATCTAAAATGGAAGAAGTTTTAAATACGCTAAATGCGGATATTTTGTTTGTAGCAGGTGATTTTAACATAGATATTTTAAAACATAGTAATTTAAGCAGTGAGTTTTTGTCCCTTATACACTCGTTTAATTTGTATCCATCTGTTTTGGGTTTTACAAGGATTACTAATCAGTCTGGGAGCTGCATTGACAATATCTTTACAAATTTGGATGATTTTAGTTCGGAAATTTTACATACCTGCATTTCGGACCACACGGCCCAAACTATCACTATAAATGTGCCAAAAGAAAATATTAAACATTGTTCTTTTAAAAGGATCTATAATCTAGATAACAAATTACAATTTTAGTCTGGCTTGTTACAACAAGACTGGAAAAGTGTTTATAAAGTACCTAGAAACGATGTTAACCAACAATGGCAAGTATTTATGAATCTTTTAATGCCAGTATTTTATGAAGCTTTTCCTCTTCAAAAAATAACAAAAAGAAAGTCATTGCAAAATTATAACAAGACTGATGAAATTGCACTGTGTAAATATCAATTGGATACTCTTTGGGTCGTGTGTTCTATAGATGAACAATATAGAGCTGCATATAATATGATTAAAAAAAAATATAATAAATTACTGATAAATGCTAAGAAACAATATTATGAAAATAAGCTGCAGCTTTCGGAAAATAAAACAAAAACCACTTGGAATATTGTGAGGGAAGTTAAGGGTACTAGCAGAGGGAATACCTTAAGAATTCCAGGTAATAAAGAAGATATTGTCGAACAGATTAATGAATATATTGTCAGTGCAGCTCCCAGATTGGTATCTGGACTGCCCAACATAGATTTTTCATGTAAAATTCAGAATAATGTGAGTTCTTTATTTGTAAATCCTGTATGTGTTGAAGATATTGTCAATATTATAAATAAGTTAAAAAACAAAACTTCTAGTGGGTATGATGAAATCACAGCAACTGTGATAAAGTTTGTTGTTTATGAAATTTCTGATATTTTGTGTTATCTAGTAAGTAACTCATTAAGTGCTGGTATTTTCCCCGATCATTTAAAGATCGCAATTGTTAGACCATTGTATAAAAAGAATGACCCTACACTTATAGAGAACTACAGACCTATTAGCTTGCTTCCAACCCTTTCCAAAGTCCTGGAGTCAGTTATGTGTGAAAAAATAACTAATTTTTTTAATGCTTTTTCACTTTTTAGCCCAACACAGCATGGATTCCTGAGAGGTAGATCAATTGAAACTGCACTTTTTGATTTTCTACAAAAAATAGTTAATAATTATGAAAACAAATTGTTATCACTTGGTATGTTTTTGCACCTCTCAAAAGCCTATGACACACTGAATTATGAAATTTTAATAAACAAGCTGGAAATTTATGGCGTTAGAGGGATCCCACTGCAGTGGATAAGATCATATCTCTCAGGAAGAAGTCAAAAAGTTGTGGTGGAAAAGGATGGACAAGTGTTTTCCTCAACTTGTAGGTATTTTTATACAGGAATACCACAGGGAAGCATTTTAGGCCCTCTGTTATTCATTATATATATTAATGACTTAAGGGATTCCCTTATAGAAAACTCACACATGCTGATAAATTATGCAGATGATAGTAATATTATTATAGATAATGGTTCTTTTGAAGGCTTAATTCAAGATAGCAGTGTAGTGTTGGACAGCGTTATGCAATGGTTTAATAAAAATAAACTGATTTTAAATACTGATAAGTCAAATTTTATGCTGTTTAGAACTAACAGATCAAATATTGTCATACCTGAAACCTCTGTGATAAATAATGAAAATGTACCTTTTACACATGATGTTCAATTCCTGGGAATAAATGAATTTTTGAAATGGGATAAACACATCCAATATACATGTGATAAATTAAATAAAGTAGTGTTTAGTTTGGTATTGCGAAATTATGTCAATTTAAGTATTTTAAAAATGTTATATCAATCAAACTTTAACTCCATTTTAAGCTATGGAATTATTTTCTGGGGAAGTAGCTCTGAGGTGGGTCAGGTTTTTGTGATTCAAAAAAGAATTTTAAGATTAATGTTGGGTTTGTCTAGTAGAACTTCATGTAGGGGAAAATTTCGTCAATTAGGAATTTTTGTAAACATCCTAGGCTTTTTGATAAATTTAAAAAGAAGGTAACTTTTACTCGTACTTTGGATTATGTTTTTCCAATACACCGACTAACAACAACTGAAAAAGATGCTCTATACATGTGTATTAAATGCTACAACTGTCTGCCAAATGAAATAAAATCTGTGATAAACTCAGTTAAAATTTTTAAAGCCAAGGTCTGTGATCTCTTAATTAGTTTGGAACCATACAATATTTTTGAATACCTACAGGAAATTCCCTGATTTTCCTGTGTATTTATAGTTTTTTGTGACACTATTTTTATTAATAATTTGTATTTGTGGAATTATTTTTTAAAATAAAGAGTATTATTATTATTATTATTAAGGGTTGGATATCTTGCTTTTGTTTACATTAAACACCGTGTTGAATGTTTTACGTTGATTTGGTGAATTAAGTTGTTTTTGTAATAAATTTTGATTTACTTTTATTTCATATAAAAAACAATCATGGCGGAGGGAATCTACCCACACTGAGTCCCCTTATATTACTTATGGTAACTTTATACAACCTAAGGTGTTAGTTGAGTTTCATAGTAGTATCTAGTATTACTTATTGTGTTATTATATAATTTTTAAACTTTTATAAACATTTTAGTAACTGGTCGTTACTAAAAGTAATGTTATAAATCTTTTTGTAGGCAACCATAATCAAATGAGTGCATTGTGTAGGCAACCATCTAACGACTTAAAAGTAGTGTTGCCAGGTCGTCCGTTTTTGCGGTAGATCTACAATGAATTTCTTTCGTTAAACATCTCACTCGCCCTAATATACTTTTAAAATAATTATGTTAATACATACTAAATTCTTTCTTTTTGACTGATTGCATCAAACAGATGCATGCATCTGCAGCCAATATTTTTGACTTGGCAACTCCATGGTTTATGAGCTCAGACATAACCTTAAAAATTTTCTACTTTAGTATTATAATATAATACCTAATTTTATACTTTAATAAAAGATCTGGCTGGGGAGTCTGCTATAAAGCATCTGATTTTAATACTAATATTTTTACCATTTTCTAATGTAAGGCCATTATCCAAAATTGGCAAACCATCTATGTTTAGATTAATGGAAATCGCAGATAAAGTTTAAAGCCATTTATTATTTTGAAAACACGTTAAAAGGCAAAATTTTAAACCTTGATGCCCCCTCCCCCATTTGTTGAATTGTAATTGTAGTTGGAGTATGTAATAATGTTCTTGGATCTGTTGGTAGGTATCCGATTATTAAAAAATTTTAATACACCCGTTGTGGTATATTAAAGTGGCAGGCCCATTTTTTAAAATCATATCTTAATGCTTCATTTTTTTAAGTTTCTGACTCTTGTTCATCAAAAATATCATCATCCACAAATTCGTTGATCCAATTATTTCTTTCATCGCCCAAAATCTCCTTTTCGGTAGTACATTCGATATTTTCAATGGCTGGAGACACATTTTCAAATGGTATGGATACGTGTACATTTTCGTTATATATATCATTGATATTGTTGGTGTATTTTTTGTGTTAAAATTGTTTAGGTTAACCTCTGAATTTAGATTTTTTTTTAAATTTTTGAAATTTTACGTCGAAAACTGGCACTATGTTTAACTTTTTTCCAATTGTTTAACATTTTAAAATAATAAAATTTGGTTTGTTTAACACATAAAATGATAATTAACTTACTAAAATATAATTGCAGTTAACTTAGTGGCAATTGTCATATCAATATTTATAAAAAAAAGTAAGACAGTTAAGACGCAATAGTTTATAAAACAGGTAACCGCAAACTCTATAAAACTCTTTTATAAACCTATATAAACCTAGTGGTAACGGTTACTATATGTTATATAAAATGTTTTCAGGAACAATTGTATAACCTTATTATATAACCAGGGGTTACAGTAACCTTATATCACCATTATACAACTTGGAAACAAATGGTGATTTTATAAATCCTTGTTATAACCTTATTTAGTTTGGCTACCTTTATATAACCTTTATATATCTTATCGTTACCATAAGTTATAAAAATTGTTTATTATTAATTAGTAACTAGTTACTTGACGGTTGTAAAGCGCGTCTCTTCGTTTCTAAAAAATACCGTGACATAATTGACTGGCATTGATTATAATTGATTATAGATAACTGTAGATTAACCTCATTGTTTTTTTTATTCGTAATAAATATTAGTAGTAGTGATTAGAAGTGTTGGAGTGAATTGAACTTGATGATTAGACTAGATATTAAAAACTCGTGTAAAAACATTTATTTGATTTGCCATGAACGTACATTTTTATCCCAACGAAAGTTACCTACTAATCAGGAAGTATTGTGTTTATTGATGTACAATTATAAATCTCTACGTAAACCACTAAATAAAAGTTTGAAAATTGTTATTGATGAAGTGAATATTGTTTGGAGTAAAACGAAAATCCCGGTGATGAAAGTTCAAAATAGTGTTGAAAAATTGAAAAACTTGTATAGTAAGTAGAAAAAAATTCTCTCGCGTACTAAATCAGCTATTCAAAAAACTAAAGAAGTTGATTTTAAGCTTTTGTCTCAAAAACTATTTGATATTGCAAGTCAAAATAAAAATGTTTGTTTAACAAATAAACAAAAAAACTTTTGGATAACGAGCGGAAAAATCAACGTCGAAATTTTAAAGATGATATTCCTAGAAGTTCCACATCTCAAAAATTAAATATCATGACACCTCAATTAACTTCAGCGCTGGATCGAACAAATGTATCAGCTAGAGATGCAACCATTATTTTGGCAGCTTCAGCGGAAAGTTTCGGAATTCCTCTTGAAAATGTTAATCTTTGCCCAAGTACAGTTTACAGGCATCGAATTAAAAATAGAAAAAGTCTTGGAGACAGTTTAAAAAACAATTTTAAAGCACCGAATACGTTAACTCTTCATTGGGATGGAAAGCTTCTACCAGAAATGACTGGCTCCACAAAAGTTGAAAGACTACCAGTAATTATAACGGGTCTGGATTGTGAACAGTTGTTAGGCGTGCCTAAATTGAACGAATCGACTGGTCTTCATCAGAGTGAGGTGATATTTGAATTGCTGCAAGAATGGGATATAACTAATAAAATTGGAGCTTTATGTTTTGACACCACCAGTGTCAATACAGGTATACTATTTTCCAAACTTTTTTTTTACTTTATCACATTTATCTAAACTATTTTTATTTTGATAGGTAAAAATAAAGGCGTATGCAAACTTTTAGAGAACAAAATTGGAAAAAGTTGAATTTTGCCTGCCGGCATCACATTTATGAGTTAGTTTTACGTTGTGTTTTCGAAATATACTGGCCAACAACTTCAGGCCCAAATGTACCAATATTCAACAAGTTTCAACAGAAATGGTCAAGAATAAATAAAAATAATTATAAAACAGGATTGTATGACCACATGGTAGCCTCGATTATACGTGATAAAAAAGATGGTATTCTGCGTTTTATCTCTCAACAGTTACAGGTATAAAAAAAATCATTTCTTCTTTCATATTTCTATAATTACAAATTCATAGACAAAATTTTAATTTTATTCGAAAATCAACCCATGACTATCGAGAGCTACTTGAACTAGCGTCAGTGTTTTTGGGAAACCGTCTCACAGGAAATAGTACTTTTAAAGTTCCTGGACCGACACACCATGCGAGATGGTTTTCGAAAGCCATTTATTGCTTGAAAATTTACCAATTTTCACTTAGCAGAGTAGAAAGTGAAGGACTTCGTCATATCTGTGTTTTTATAACATTATTGTATATAAAAGCATGGTATTGCGCGCCTTTGTCAATTCAAGCTCCGCGACAAGATTTGGAATTTTTAAAAAATTTATTGCAATATAAAACAATTGATAAGAAAATTTCAGAGGCAGCATCAAAAAAATTTAGTACTCATCTCTGGTATTTGTCGAAAGAACTTATTTGTTTGTCACTTTTCGATGATAATGTAAGCTCAGAAATTAAAATTAAAATTATCGAATCAATGAATCAAGAAGCTAGCAAAAATACAAATTTAAAACGTGTTAATGTCAAAATGTCCAGATTAATTCTTTTTGACAAAAAAATTGTACGATTTCGCATCAAGAAAGTCGATAGTTCTATTTGAACGATTTCAACTTCCCACTGAATTTTTAAAATTACATCCAGATCAATGGAAATCTCATAAAGATTATAACACCTGTTTAACAATTCTTATTAATTTCCACGTTGTAAATGATACTGCTGAACGGGGAGTTCAATTAATAGAATCGTATAATCGAAGTTTAACTTATAACGAAGAACAGAAACAATACTTATTCGTGGAAATGCATAGGAAGCAATTTCCGAATGCTAATAAGCAAACATTGATGTTACCACCAATTCAGAAATGAAAAAAAGAGTTTTACTTCTAGTAATTATCATTATTTATTAATCAAAATTTATATTTATTTTCTAAATATAAGTCGTAGTTTCTAAATTTTACAATATATTAGCTTTACAGGGTCTCTTGTAAAATAACATTTAATGTAAGATCAATAAAATCAATTTAAAGAAAATTTCTTGTTAATTATTATTAATATTCACCTTTCCAGCTCTACAACTCAAAAACTGTTGTTCGGAAAGCATTTGCTCAAAAGAACTTTTATGTAGCAAATTTCATTCCCTACAAAAGCTGTATACTCATTTTTTTCCAAAAAAACATTTTGAAATACTAAAAAATCAGGTTAAAGTCGAAAAAAAAAATTTCCCGTGTAATTTATATGGGAAATCGAATTTTTGAAAGAGTGAAGTCTCTAATTTACTTAAAAAAAATTCCAAAAAACGAGAAATATATATATATAGTTTTTGTCCATATATATAAAACATATGCGCTCGTATATTTATAAATTAGGGTTCCATTTATAGTCAACAGAGGGCGCTCTGCATTTTATAGTGTGACAGCGTGTATTTTTAGTTGCCTTAGTATATCAAATATTGGCGCCAAAGAAAAGTTTATTAACCTGGCTGTTTACCTACTGTAAAACGCTTAATGGTTTGTTCTGTGGCTTAAATCTTAAATTGAAGTAAAAAACGGCAGGTAAGTTCGATTTTTTATTATTGTTACTGTTATTAATTAAGAACTGATGATTGTATTTAGGTACTCACTTCATAACCGTTCTCTTGTGTTTACCTGTCGTATTTAGTAATATTGTTTTTATTCTAGGATGGGAGATGAAAATCTAAAGAAAATTATAAATGAAATTGTGTCAAGTGAGCCCTTTTGTAGGCAATTACAATCTACAATAGAAAGTGTAATGCAGAGCAATAATAAACAGTAATGCATCGGCTGCTGCCGGAATTAGTTCATCTCATTTTAGACAAACCTCAGTCGTACCACAATCTGCAGTGGATTATTTCCAAGTATCAATCGTATCAATCAAGCAGGCTTTTCAACTTTAAATCGCCAACAGGCTAAAAGAAAAAGAAAAAGACCAGGCTAATTTGGAGACACCTTTATTGAATTTAAAAGAGACGTATTTCTTGTCAGTAGCCATAACACAAAAAATACTTTCTCTGGACCTCAAAAGTCGATAGCTTGAAAAAGGTTTGTATTTTTTTCACTGTGACTAGAAGTACACCGAGAGTACGGGCATTAAACGTACACCGGGTGTAAAAAAATCCTTATTTAGCAAATTTTCGTATTTGTCAATTGTCATAATTTTCGTAATTGTCAAATTGACCATGTCCACCTCAAATTCATATTCATAACTTTTGTTCTTTAGGAAGATTTTAGTAAGTATATTGGTATTAATTCATTTATGGTACAAATTAAGTGATCAGTATTTCAATTTTATGGTAGGTGCACTTTTCCATTATTTTATGGTCGCTTAATCTCGTGCTCAATGGGGGGAGGGGGAGTTTGGAGCAAGGTCGGTTCTAACCTGATGTACGTTTAATTCCTATACTCCTGGTGTACTTCTAGTCACAGCGTTTTTTTTATAGCCTATAGGCAAAAGATTGCTAAGAAATGTTGATATCTTTTTAAGGTTTTGGTTTATGTGCAGTGGGTTTTCAGGAAAATTGGTCCGAAGAGGAAGTGTACAAACATTTGGCAGAATTATTTAAGGACAAATTGGAAGGAAGGAACTTTGAAATATCAATTCCGATAAGTCGATCCCTTGTTAAGCCCAATTTAGCCACTAGTAGCTGTAGGGATGGAAGCTGTTTAAGTATTTACGTCCGTTAACTAATTTAGATTACTTTTTTTTTGTATCCCACCAGTAGCCATGGTAGCCCAAAAATACCAGAAACATCCGGCCTGCATTGGAGCAACTAAGAGAAGGATTGAATACCTTAAACTTTTTGGATAAAAGTATACCTTTTTCAACTGATTTAGAACGCTTGTTTTGTTACCATGAGAAACAATTTACTGCAGATTTCTTGAAGAAATTTTTCAACCCTGTGTTGAGTGAACCAGGAACAAATACAAGAACTGTAGAAAACCGCATTTTGGCATTCTAGGGCGATTATTTGATTGACTGTGAAGGTAAGGACTTGTCCAATTGTTGACCGCCTAATTATACAGGGTGTTTCACATTCTGGTCTATAAGAAGTTTCTGGGGAACGAAAAAAGATATCGATTTAAAATTTTAAAAGCGTTTGTAATCCATTTAAGTCTATTTTTATAAAAAATTTTAAACAAAATGCCACTTCCGGTTTAACCGGAAGTGTCATCAACTTTGTTATTTTAAATAAAACACCCCAAATATTTTTACATTTTTAAATTCTTCATGGAATTCTGAGTAAAATTATTATACCATGTCCCATACTTAAAGTAAATAGTTTTCTAGATATTATTTTTTTTCGTTCAAATTTGATAAATGCGCGTCAATTAAAAATAGCCTATAACTTTTTTGTTATTAGGTTTGAAAATATGGAGTTGGAATTTTTGAAATCTTAAATCATTAAGATTCCATATCAATTCTTTAACATTTTTGAACAATTTACCTAAGAAAACCCAGGGCAAATTAGGCTAACCAACAATACGGGTGAGTTGACGGTATCTATGGTTACCACGTAATTTGTCATTGTTTAAAATTTAATGGCGTCAATTTTTTAGGTTGTTAATTAATTTGTTAACTAATTGATTATATATATATATATATATATATATATATATATATATATATATATATATATATATATTGTAACCTCAACTTGAGGGCTATGGCGAACGGCAGCTTAGCAGCGGAGAGATAGGTCGATGGGCAAATGTTGTTTCTCAATACTTACGTGTTTTTACTAAAATAAATCCAAAATTGGGCGCCAGTGTCTTATTATGGCCAGTTGTTAAAATCTAAGTAAGTCAGACACAATCTTACTAAAGACTAAGGGTTGTTATTAAAAGTCAAGTTTATAAAACAATAAATCAGTTATATTTGTTTCACCGATGTTGAAATGATCACTTTTTATGTAATAATAAATGTTTGTAATAATAAATGTTTGATCTGTAATTTTGGTGCACCCTTATATGGCCATATATGGTTTACAAAAACCAAAGTCTGATGGACTAAATTAACTGACAAAATATTGTCGATGATACAAAAAATATATACTTAAAATAACTATGATGAACGCAACTCAAAAGTTCACAAACTATAAGGAGTGTAGTGCACGTGAACATTAATATTCAAAATTGGTACGACATGTTCGTAGTTGGGGCCCTGGTAGATTGTGTCTCCGAATGGGTTGGCTTCTGATGTTGAAGTCTCCTACCATGTCAGATTATACAGGATGGCTTTTAAATAACGTAAGAACTTGCCATTATCCAAAACAAGTTCAGGGTAAAAAACCATTTCTTTACAACAAATCTGACATAAAAAGTCTTACAAAAAACTCCAACATAAAAACCCCTTGTTTAAAGGAGTTTTTATAACTATACAACGTCAGGACTGGATAAAGACCAAAAATGAGGGAATAACACAACCCCAGAGCTCATCGTACCATACGAAAATTGTTTTGGTCGGAATTATACAATTAGATTGAGATTTACCACGTATTTTTGGAAATTTTCCATAATTTAGGCACAAACTTAACTCTCATCTAATCGCTTCAACAACCAAATCGAAAAGGACGCTTCACTTAAAATTTGTTGCGTAGTAAATTTAGTGCGTAGCTAAATTAATTCGTAGAAAACCTGCTGGAAAATCGTGAACCCAATCTGGCTATGTTGCCTATGTTAACAAACATTTTTTAAAAGAATTCCCACAAAGTCTACCAGGACCCAAACTTCAACCGTCAATACTCCCTCAGCCACACTTGCACTGATACGCCCCTAGTAACATACTCAAAAACCCAAATACATACCCCCCTAAACGCAATCATTTGGAAAATTCCCTCCACTGACACTAAATTGTCAATAACGGCAAACCAGCCACCAAAATGAATATATTAATTATAATTATCATTATAATTACATACAACCAACCTCACACGGAAGTGTTTGTGTTGCATACTATCAAATTACAGTTTTTAAATAAAATTAAAAGAAATGGCTTAAAAAGAGTTTTAAATACCGGCAATGCTATTCATGTGTCAGTAAAAGGAATTCCAATAAAACTAATAGATTTTCTTGGAAAGAGGCATTTAAAGAACTAAACAATTATCCTTGAGAGTAAAACTAAAAATAAAACACTTAACTGTGTACATCCATACCGTTCTAGATGTAAAAAAAAACTATTAAAATAAAATAAATGAGTAACTGTCAAAATGACGGTTACAATATATATATATATACACATAAAAATATATATATATATATATATATACAATAGTGTTAATGTTAATAGTAATGTTAATGTTAGCATAGCATAGAAATATGCGTGTATCCGTTCACAATGATGGTAATGTTGATGGTTACGTTGATACACGCATTTGTCTATGCTTTATTAACATTACCATTAACATTAACACTATTGTGACAATTAGGCATTAGGAAAGTTGATTAGCTTGAAAAAAACTACAAAATATATTTTAACTTTTTTTTCCTACGATAAACCGTTTCGGAGTTTCGGAGCACAACGTGTTTTTGGTGAAAACTCAAAAAGTTTTGGATTTAATTTTTTTCAAAATCGGTTAGTTTAAGAAAAAAATTTTGTCAACAAAAAATGTAGGGTGCATTGTCCCCTACAATTTATGTCATTGGGTCGATGCTCTAGGACAGAAAATTCAAAAAGTAGGTAGCGCTAAAGTACACAAAAAAGCGTTTTATCGCGTTTTAAACCCGAATATTTTTTTTTAACGCAGGACTGTTATTACGAAAGTTGTTTATCTAAAAAAAACACATAAAATTTATATACACTTTTTTTTCCTACGATGGACCGTTTCGGAGTAATATCAGCCTTCCGAATTTTCTTAATTATTTATTAAAAAACCCCTGTGGGGCACGTGTTCCCTTTGACCGATTGACCTAAAATTTTGCAGGAATTTTTTTTATGATTTGGAACCGATTTGGGGGGCGCCTCTGTTAAATTTTTTCCGACCCCTAAATAAGGAACACCCTAATATATATACAGGGTGGTCCAGGTTATAGTAGCAATAATTCACCATTCGATAGTCCATCGAAAAATAAGTCGACATGCATGGTAATTTTTTTCTCCAAAACCCCTCCTAAGGGAGATACAGCCCTTCAAAGTTGAGTTTTAAAAATCTTTTTTTTGCCATAACTCTCAGGAAATAAAAGCGTTTTTGACCAAATTTGGTACAAGTACTTTTGAAATAGGTACTCATTACCTGACGTAAGTAACTTTTGTCAAAATTGTCCAGTGACGTAGATACATTGGGGTTGTTTCACTTTTTCCACCCCATTTTTTACGCCACTGGATATTGGTTTAAATTGACCTATTTTTCTAATTCCTTGTTCAATTTTTAGAAAAAAAGCCACTCTTGTCAAATTTTTATTTAAGGCTTTGTTTACGAGATAATTGAGTTTAAAAAAAAATACAGTACTGCAAAGTTCAGTTTTAAATATCTTTTTTTTTTCATGACTGTAACTCTAAGATCGCTAAAGCATTTTTTACCAACTTTAATACATGTACTTAGTAAATAGATACTCGTTACTTCACCCAAGTAACTTTTGTCAAAATTGTCCATTGGCGTAGATACAGGGGTTGTTTCACTTTTTCCGCCCAGGATTTCACGCCTTTGATATTCTTGAACTGTTTGCAACGCGTTCCCATCACAAAATCCATAAATGAAGTGAATATCGGCGTATTCTTGGTTCGTGAATCGAAAAGGCATATTTATGATTACATGATACTTGTACTAACTCTAAAATATTTTAACAGACTGTAAAAAATAATAGAAAACCTTTATTAACTCTCTGACAGCTATTTCAGTTGTTTAAGACTGACAGTTCATACTAGAGTGGGGCCGCCCTAATTTTATTGGATAAAGCGCATCAGGCCACTTGATAATTTTAAATAAAAATACGCCAAGTGTTGATTACCTATTTTAAATACCTATACCAAATTTAATCAAATATTCTTAAACGATATGAGATAAAAAAAAGATAAATCTTAAAATTGAATTTTGAAGGGCTTTATGTCTTTTCTGAGAAAGTTTTGAAGAAAATAAAACAATGCAATGAGTTATTTTTCAGTGAAATCCTGAGCGGAAAAAGTGAAACAACCCCTGTATGTACGCCAATGGACAATTTTGACAAAAGTTACTTGGGTCAAGTAACGAGTATCTACTTCATAAGTACTTGTATCAAAGTTGGTGAAAAACGCTTTAGCGATCTTAGAGTTAGAGTTATGACAAATAAAAGATATTTAAAACTGAACTTTGCAGGACTGTATGTTTTTTTTTAAACTCAATTATCTCGTAAACAAAGCCTTAAATCAAAATTTGACAAGAGTGGCTTTTTTTCTCAAAATTGAACAAGGAATTAGAAAAATAGATCAATTTAAACCAATATCCAGTGGCGTAAAAAATGGGGTGGAAAAAGTGAAACAACCCCCCTGTATCTACGTCACTGGACAATTTTGACAAAAGTTACTTACGTCAGGTAACGAGTACCTATTTCATAAGTACTTGTACCAAATTTGGTCAAAAACGCTTTTATTTCCTGAGAGTTATGGCAAAAAAAAGATTTTTAAAACTCAACTTTGAAGGGCTGTATCTCCCTTAGGAGGGGTTTTGGAGAGAAAAATTACCATGCATGTCGACTTATTTTTCGATGGACTA